TTTCAAAAATTAGATTTAATTGTAATCCTGTGTACTAATTATTTGAACAGAATGAATTAAACAGTGGATTCAGTTTTGGATGACAGAACTGTGTGGCAGTACAGTAACGGTATTTTCATTGTTGTGCACTGCGTGATAATAAAGATAATATATTCAAGGGCTTTTTCAGTTTTCTAAGAGCTGTTGCAAATCTTGATATTCACATAATTCTCCTTTGGAAAAAAATTACTTCCGTGCTTACAGTTGTGTTTTTCTTTCTACAGTTATGATTTCTTTCTATAGTTATAAAGAGAGATCTATATTTAAGCCAATGGCCGTGACTGTAATTGAACTTTTTTTTTCACTTTCACCAATTTTTTTATACATATAATTGTAGGATTTTACATTTTTCATCTTACAACATAATTGTATTTATTTTGTATTGTTGTCATGTTACTATATTTGTCATTCAGACTGATTAACAAAGACAATGTGTGTTCAGTAGGAAGCAGTTACAGTTTATAAAGGGAGGAGTGTTTGCATTTTTTAGTTGAGTAATCTCCAGTTTTTCTTATTCACCTATTTTGTTAAACTATTATTTTTAAACATACAATGTACACATTTAAAGGATGAGATTTTAAAATATATAAAAACAAAAGTTTTGATTTTTGTCTTTTTACATCCATTTCCTAAATGTGTGCAAATACTACTTTAGAGAATACTGATATGCTAAATATGTTCATTCTTAGAACTTTTGTTTTCCTCTCCAACCATAAAACTCTTGAGACTTAAGATAATGAACATTCAGATAGCTTAAAGTAGACTAAATGAAGATATTATGAAACAACTGAAACTAGAGAATGGGGAATTAAAAGATTAAAAAATAAGTAGTTGAAATTTATATAAGGAATAAAATGGAATGAAGTCCCAGATTATGATACAGAGTAATGAGACAAACAATAGACGTGGTGGTTTGACACCTTAGGTGAAAGATCTTCTTTTGCTACAATGTGTCCTTGAGCAGGCTTCTTAGCATTTTAAGCTTCAATTTCCTTAACTGGAAAATAGGCTTGGTCATAGCTACTACTTACGGTGAATTAAATGAGACAGTTTATACAAACGTTTATACAAACGGCTTAACAGATTTTTGCATCTAACAAATTATGACACCTTTTAAAAATGGATGAAGTTAGAATAAATTAAAGCAAACATGGATACAATTAAAAAGGCTAACATTCAACTTTTATTGCTGACTTTATCAAAGAAGGTTGTAGCAGGCTAACATCCAGTGCTTTGAAGTAAATGTAATGAAATAATCTAAGATCTTTCTCATAAATTCTTATATTAAATCTAAGAGGACCTAAATTAAAGAGTAGATATGGAGTAGAAGAGTTAATATTTTAAATATACTATTTCTTTTCAAATTGATTAGTATAGACTGATGCAGTTCCAATCAAAATCTGATGGGGTTGCTTAAAAAATTTAAACATATGACAGATAAAAGTATAACAATAGATCACATAACAATATAAACACACATAACATTACATCAGTGAGATAAAACTTGATAGAAAGATGTATGAAATGTGCAAGCATTTTTCTTTCCAGAAAAAACACATTGGATATAAATTTTTTTTTTTTCAGTAAGGGGGTCAGAAGTTATTCCTTTTTTTTTTTGAGACAGGGTCTTAGTCATAGGCTGAAGTACAGCAACCAAGTCATAGCTTACTGAAAGCTCAAACTGCTAGGCTCAAGCAGTCCTCTTTCCTCATCTTCATTGGTGGCTGGGACTACAGGGGCGTGCTACCACAACCAGCTAATTTTTTTTTTTTTAAGTAGAGAAAGAGTTTCACTGTGTTGCCCAAGTTGGTCTTGAACTCCTGGCCTTGAACTCCTGGCCTCAAGCAATCCTCTTGCCTTTGCTATTTCAAGTGTGAGCCACCATACGCAGCCACATTTTTTTTTTTTCCTTTTTTTGAGACAATCTATTTCTGTTGCCCAGGCTAGAGTACAGTGACAAGAATATGGCTCATTGCAGCCTCAACCTCCTGGGCTCAAGTAGTTCTCCCACCTCAGCCCTCCAGGTAACTGACCACAGGTACCCACTATCATGATTGGCTAATTTTTATATCTTTTGTAAAGATATAAAAGATTTAAAAGATATAAAGATTTCACCATATTGTCCAGGCTGGTTTTAAATTCCTGGGTTCAAGCATCCACCTGCCTCAGCCTCCCAGAATGCTCGGATTACTGGGGTGAGCCACGGCACCCAAGCTGGCCAAAAAATTTAAGTCTGTGGTGCTTATTAGGTTTTGGGAAATAGTCACTCTCTCACATTACTTGTGAAAGCTAATAAATTTTTAAGAGCCTTTGTCAAGATTATTTTAGCAATATTGCTAGCTGTGATGGCTTACACTTACAATCCCAGCACTTTGGAGGCAGAGGCAGGCAGTTACCTTGAGTCCAGGAGTGGAAGACCAGCCTGGTCAATCTACTGAGACCCCCATGTCTACAAAAAAAGAAAAAGAAAAAAAAATTAGCCAGGCATGTTGGTAAGTGCCTGTAGTCTCAGCTTCTCTGGAGACTGAGATGGGAGGATCGGTTTTACATGGGAGGTCGAGGCAGCAGTGAGTCACGATCACATCACTGCACTCCATCCTGGGCGACAGAGCAAGACCCTGTTTCAAAACAAAAAAACAAAACAAAAAACCCCATATGTTTGTGTGTGTGTGCGTATATATATATACACACATATACATATGCTTATACATACACACATGCATACACATATGTTTCTAGAATGCTTTTCTACTTTACACTGGTTTATTTCTCCTTTTTTGGTTTACTAGCTGTTAGTAGTTTTCTCATCTTCATACTACTGTAGCTAGGTACTGAAGGCATGCACCACCACATCTGGCTAATTTTGGAGTTTTTTATAGAGATAGTGTCTTGCTCTGTCACCCAGGCTGGAGTGCAGTGGTGTGATTATAGCTCACTGTAGCCATGACCTCTCAGGCTCAAATGATCTTCCCCTGCCTCAGCCTCCCAAGTAGCTGGGACCACAGGTGAACCACCACATCCAGCTAATTTTTAAATTTTTTTGTAGAGAAGGGATCCAACTATTTGCCCAGACTTGTCTAGAACTCCTGGGCTCCAGTAATCCCCCTCCCGTGATCTCTCAAAATACTGGGATTACAAGATTAAGCTACCACACCTGGCCTAAATTATTTTTTAGAGTGGATCCTCTGGATCATTCTGTTTATTTGTTTTCCAGTTCAGCTGATCTCTAAGCTTGGTTCTTACTGCAAAGGCATTAGAAATTACTGTTAAATCATGGGAGCTTATCTTTCACCTTTACTTATCAAAATTGTGGTGATATTATTACCATTAAGAGCATGGTTTTGTTCTGGTTGTAGGAAGAAACTGGCAGTTCTAACCCAAGAAAGCTTACTAATGTAAAGGTGTGGTCATATTTACAGTGAAGTGCAAAAAAGCCTCTTTTGTCTCTGTCAGTTTTCGCCATGATAAAATAGGACAATAATCAGTCAAATGTGTTGCTGAAGAATGATTGCTCACTATAGTAAAGATTGGATTGGTGGGCAGCCATTATCATGGGCTCAAGTATATAGTAGGAATAAGTATATGACATAAAATTATAGCTAACCCCCTTTCATTTAGGATTTTGAGTTAGTAGCTGTTGTGCTGAGTAAAGTCCTAGAATGTAGCAGTTAGTGGTTTCTCACTTGTTTGAGCTCTTTTCTTTATTGCCTGTTTCAGAATGATTAAACCAGAATTTAGCTATTTGTGGCACAGATATCTGTTTACATACATGAGACGCTAGTACCACATCCCTAAGGGGTCGCTGATATTGACATTTCCCTGCATTTATAAATATTTGTAAATATTAGCAGTTACTGACTCTGCTAATGACAATTGAACAGGTATAGCTCCACTTTTTCAAGACCTCACCTCCTAGAAAATTCTAGGATGTTGAGTGCCAGGGTAAACACATAAAGATTGTTTAAAGAATGATATGCTGTCCAACTAGGTTGCAAAGTTGAGTAATAACAGTAAATAAGTCATGTGGTAGCTTGGGTTAATAATGTGGAGCTCACTGAATATTGGAGAACTGCTTGTTCGTAAGGGAGTGATCAAAGTAGTGCTTCAAGAAGATTCATCTGGTGTGTAAGAAATGTTCTGTATCTTAATATAAATAATGCAAATACCGGTTAACACTTAAGTAATTAATATAAATAATGCAAATTCCAGTTAACACTTACGAAAGTTTGTCATGCTAAATACTTAAGCATTGTGAATTTTATGTAAGATGATAATTGAACTTTTAAAAAAATACAAAAAGGCCAAGCATGGTGGCCTGTAGTCCCACCCGGTCAGGCTGAGCGGGGAAGAATTACTTGAGCCCTGGAATACTAGGCTAGTGTGAGGAACAAGACTGAGTATCTTTTTCTTTTTCTTTTTTTTTTTTTTTTTTTTTTGGAATCAGAGTCTCACTCTGTCGCCCAGGCTGTAGTGCAGTGGCATGATCTCGGCTCCCTGCAAACTCTGCCTCCCGGGTTCACGCCATTCTCCCACCTCAGCCTTCTGAGTAGCTGGGACTACAGGCGCCCACCACCACACCCAGCTAATTTTTTTGTGTGTTTTTAGTAGAGATGGGGTTTCACCGTGTTAGCCAGGCTGGTCTTGATCTCCTGACCTTGTGATCCTCCCGCCTTGGCCTCCCAGAGTGCTGGGATTACAGGCATGAGCCACCGTGCCTGGCCAAGACCCAGTATCTTTAAAAAACAAAAAAACAGAAACACTGTCAATCTGTTTGATTTAATCTACCTGCCCTTTCCTGTCTTGTTGCAGCCCATGTATCACTGGAAATCAGTTTGTTCCCTTTAATTTTACATTGATAGGTTATTGAAAAATAATTTTAGCATTTCAGAAATGTGAATATCATGACATTTTAATATGTGATATAAAAATTAATGTTTGGTATACTTTATTCCCTGGTTTAGGAGCTGTGACTAATGAGAATTAAAGGCCATGGATGAAGATGAATTTGAATTGCAGCCACAAGAGCCAAACTCATTTTTTGATGGAATAGGTATTACTATTTCTTGGGTTGTTTCACTTCCCATCTGCTGGATTTGGAATTACTTATCAAAATTGCAGAATCTGATGTTAATTCATATTTAAGTACTTAGGTCCATACTTATGTCCTGTCAGAATCTTATAGCCAACTCATAATCTTGTTAATTAAGCCATCAATACCAAAATCTTACTGTTACCCTTCAGTTGTTCCAGTTTTTCCAGTTATGCAATTAAATCCTTCTAGTTCTCCCTTTGAAATGTTTTCTGTTTGTGTTAGTTTTCTATTTTTCCATTGGTACATTTCAAAAAATTTACTAATCTAAAACAGGACAAATTTATCTCAAGAGTTCTATAGGTCAGAAATGTGGCTCAACTGAGTTCTGTGTATAGAATTTTACAAGGTTAAAATTAAGATGTTGGCCAGGTGTGGTGGCTCACATCTGTAATTTCATTGCTTTGGAAGGTGGAATTGTGATGATTGCTTGAGATCAGGAATTGAAGAACATCCTGGGTGCTGGGCAACACAATGGAAACCCTGTCTCTGCAAAAAAAAAATTTTTTTTTTAAATTAGCTGAGCATGGTGGTGCATAGCTCTAGTTCTAGATGCTCTGGAGGCTGAGGTAGGAGGATTGCTAAACCAGAAATTAAGGCTGTGGTGAGCTATAATGGCACAGCTGTACCCCAGCCTGGGTAACAGAGCAAGAAAAAAAAAATCAAGCTATCAACAGGGCTGGAGGCTCTTGACTTCGAAGAATATCCATACTTTTAGGTAAATTTAGTTTCTTTTTGTTGTACCATGGAGATACTGTTTGTTGTTCCCTACAGTTCATCATCCAGGAACATTTTTTGCTTCCAGAACCTGCCCACATTTCTTCTCATGCTTTGCATGGTGGTTTCCTCAAGCAGCAGTGAGTGGAGTCCATCTCATGCTTTTAATCTTTCTGATCTTCCCTTCTATCACATACATCTTCTTGAATCTAGCCAGAAAACTATTCATTTTTAGAGCTCACATGACTAGATTTGATGCACCAGGGTAATCCGGGATAATTGCCCAATTTTAAATTCATAATCTTAATTACACCTGAAAAATTTCTTTTGCCATGTCATGTAACATATTTACAAGATTTACAGGGATTAGGGTATGGACATCTTTGTGGGACCGTTCTTCCTGCCACCATCTGCACCCTGGTTCTCATGTGTCTCTGGCAAATGTAAAATAACATCCACCCTCTCTCAAGTTTCCCAGTTAAAAAAAAAATAAAAATCTTACATGAAATTAATCAGCTCAGAAGTGCTAAGTATCATTTAAATCAGATGCTAATAATTCTCTGGGTATCAGTCATTAAGTGCAAGTCCTGGGACACAATTCCTCTTTATCTACTTCCCAGTGTACAGTGGTAGGACAGTTTGGGATATTCTGGTTCAAACAGGGTGACATGAAAGGTAAGAAAGAAATTTTGTGTGAAGAAATTCTGAAATGCAACCAGACAAACTCCCATTAATTTTCAAGACCTGGGAATAATCCTTTTTGGCCTGTGGCTCCACCCTTTGAGTCTTCCTTGCTATTTTCTTCAAAGACAGCAGGTATTTGCAGCTGAATAGTTTTATTTCCTGCTTCCTGCCTCTGGAATTCTGGTAGTCCAACAGTTCATTGTATTAATTCTGTGTCCCTTTCAGTTTAAGCTAGCAGTGCTTCTTTTGAAAAAACAATTTGTGTGTGTCTTGGGGATTTATTGTAGTAGACAAGAGGCTCATATAATTTTTTCTGAGATTATCTTATGTCTGTTTTTGACTTCTGCTAAAATGGTTGAAGTCCAATATCGTTAGATTTCTTAGAAGTGCTGAGTATTTGTAGGTCACACTTTTACTTGCTTGAAAAAGACTTAATTCTCTGATTTTTGATCTTTCCCTTTCCCTTTCCCTTTCCTTTCCCTCCACTTCCTTTCCTTTTTCTTTTTACCTTGCCTTACCTTACCTTACCTCACTCCTTGCCTTTTCTTTTCCTTCCCTCTTTCTTTTTCTTTTACCTTGGCCTTTCCCTTTCTTTCCTTTTTCCTTACATTTTACTTTCCTTGTGTAATGATCAGGTGCCTGAAGGAACCTTTTGTTCTTTCTGTTTCATGGAATAGTTGAGAATCCCATACTGTTTTTTTCTCTCTCTTAAATCAGCAGTCCTCACTCTTTTGGGCACCAGGGACTGGTTTTGTGGAAGACAGTTTTTCCAGGGACCTGGGAATAGGGGGGTTTGGGGATAGTTACTAGATGAATCAAGCACATTACATTTATTCTGCACTTCATCTGTATTATTATTACATGTAATATATAATGAAACAATTATACTGTTCACCATAATTTAGAATCAGTGGGAGCCCTGAGCTTGTTTTCCTGCAACCATACCATCCCATCTGAGGGTGATGGGAGACAGTTACAGATCATCAGGCATTAGATTCTTACAAGGAACATGCAACCTAGATCCCTCACATGTGCACTTTACAGTACGGTTCGCATTCCTATGAGAATGTAATGTTGCTACTGACCTGACAGGAGGCGAGAGTTCAGGCAGTGATGCCTGTGATGGGAAGTGGCTGTAAATAAAGATGAGGCTTTGCTCTGACAAGGAGTCTCTTTAATTTAACCTCCCCTTTCACCCCCCAGATGGACAGAAAACTTCTCATTTGTCGTGTTTTACTATCTCTTTGCTTAATCTTCCAACTATTCATTTTTCACACTGAATTTTACTCTGAGCAGTAAGAAGAAATGAGACCACATCTCCAACACTTTCCTAAAATCTTCTGAATTGAAGAGTTCATTTTTACAAGTTGTGCTTTCCATATAACCCAGGGAGACAATTTTGCTAAGTGGTCTATCAAGTTGTGCTTTCCACATAACCCAGGGAGACAATTTTGCTAAGTAGTCTGTCTTTTTATGTAACAGAGCTCTTCCTTCCTTCTGTTGGAAACTCACTTTTAAGCCCTTACAAGCAGTGTTACAAAACTCTAGATTTCTACTAGCAGTCATACATGACTTAGGTATTCTCTGAGTCCATGTAGGATTTCTCTGCCTTGATCTTTTCTCCCTCTGGATTCTCACTGGCAGAGTTTGTTACTTTTTGTTGTTGTTGGTTTTGAGATAGGGTCTCACTGTGTCACCAGGGCTGAAGGGCAGTGACATGATGATGGCTCCTCACTGCAGCCTCAACCTCCTGGGCTCAAGTGATCCACCCACCTCAGCCTCCTGAGTAGCTGGAACTACAGGCAGGCACCACAATGCCTGGGGAATTTTTTTTTTTTTTTTGGAGACAGAGTCTTGCTGTGTCCCGCAGGCTGGAGTGCAGTGGCACGATCTTGTCTCACTGCAAGCTCCGCCTCCCGGGTTCACAACATTCTCCTGCCTCAGCCTCCCGAGTAGCTGGGATTACAGGCGCCCGCCACCACACCTGGCTAATTTTTTTGTGTGTTTTTAGTAGAGATGGGGTTTCACCGTGTTAGCCAGGCTGGTCTCGGTCTCCTGACCTCGTGATCTACCTACCTCGGCCTCCCAAAGTGCTGGGATTACAGGCTTGAGCCACCGCTCCTGGCCAGGAATTTTTTTAGTAGAAATGAGGTTTTGCTGTGCTGCTTAGGCTGATGTTGAATTCCTGAGCTCAGGCCATCCTCCCACCTCAGCCTCCCAAAGTGTTGTGATTACAGACATGAGCCACTGTGCCCAGCCTGTTATTTTTAACATTCATATTTTTAGTATTGGTTTTTTAAAGGAAATTTAGTTTTTTTTTTCTACTCAACAGAATCTAAGCTTTTCATTCTTTAAATTTTTTTTTTTTCATTTCCCTAAGAGCTAGAATTTCTCTTCATTCTTGTAAGAAATTTTACAGTCTGCACCTATCCAACAGCAAAGCCACTTTACATTTTTAGGTATCACCTATCCATAACTACAAAGTCACTTTATGTTTTTAGGTGTTTGTATAAGCAGTTCTCCACTTCTTGGCACCAAAATCTGAAATTATTTTTGTTAATGCAAAGAAAATTACCACAAACTCAAGCAGTTCAAAACAAATTTTATTGTCTCAGTTTCCGTAGGTCAGAATTCTGTCATGGCGTGGCTAGTTTCATAAGGTGTTGCCAGAGTTTTATTCCTTTCTGGTGAATCCAGTTTCATTGTTCTTTAGATGCATCCAATTTCAGTTTATTCAGGTCCTTGGTTGAAGGCAGTTCATGCAGCTATAGGACTGGAGTCCCCATTGCTGTACTGGTTGTGAGCTAAGAGGCTAATCTTTGCTTCTTATGACAAACTCCATGTTGTTTCTCATGCTTTCCATGTGGCCACTGTAGGCGTGGCTAATTCGATCCCTCTCATATGTAAAATCTCTCCAATTTATCATTCTGCTTCAGCTCCCCAACTCCAGACATAAAAAGCTCTCTGCTTTATCTAAGCAGATTGGTCTCAACAAATTATTTTTAAAGTTCATGACCTTAATTTTACCTGCACTGCCCATGTGGTATAAGTCATAACATAATATATTGTAAGTTCCAGTGATCAGAGAATAAACATCTTGGGGATTTGGTTGGTGGGGGATACAGTGGGATGTAGATTGTCTGGGATGCTGAGAGAAGTCTTCTTATGACACTGCTTTTTAGGCCCTATTACCTCATTCTTCATTGATAGTATTAAGACTGTTTTCTCACTCTTGGTTTCTTTCCTTCATCTACCACAGTAGTAGAATATTCAACCCTAAAAAACGTGGATTATTCCTTTCCATTGCCCAGGAAATAAACTATAAATCCCAGGTCCTCTGGAATTGATCCTGTCCTAACTTTTGTAACCTTTTCACATATTCACAAAAGGAGCCTCTATATCAGGCAGATGCATCCTTACCTCATTTCCAGAACTGCAAAAAAAATTACACTTAAACAAGAGGGGGAAAAAAGTATTCTCAATTTCAGATTGTTCAGGGTTCTAAATACGTAATACTATAATTAGACTAGATTTTATTTTTCTGTTTCATACTCTTGTAAATTAAAATTTTAATGATTTTATTAACTGAATTTTAAATGAATATTGCCATATATTAGCAATAGTAATTAACTTTACCGAGAAACATAAGGAGTTTTAAATATACCTTCTAAATTTTGTGTGTGTGCATGTATTTGTTAAGCAATTTAGGATATTCTTTTGACTCACTGTTAGGTGCTTTCAGGTTGTTAATGGTAAATGCAAACCTATAATTCTTTCCTTCTCTGGAACATAGTGAAGTATAATTATTTTGGGAGGTCACAGCAAGAGGATTGCTTGTGGCCAGGTTTTTAACACCAGTCTGCACCACCCTTTCAAATTTTTTCTTTGAAAGAGAGAGACTAAGTTCTTTGCGAAAAAACTCAGTACTTTTTTTAGTGTACTCTTGCCACAATCATGCCTAAGTCATGGGCTAAATGGTAGATTGAAGGGCTGTTGCATTTTCGCCTTGATAACACTTGAAATGGTGTTTTCTTTAAATTTGAGGAAGTCATGTAATCTACCCAAGCTTCCATTTTCATATGCATAACAATAATGAAACATCTCCCTGATTACATTTTTTCAGGACCCGTACCATGCATTCCCATTTATCATGATAGTCCTGTGAGGTGTGCATGACAGTTACTACTGACCTCATTTTACTCTTGAGGAAACTGAACTCAGAGGCTAGATGACTTGGTCCAAGGTTACAAAACTAATAAGTATCTAAACTTTGCCCTCTGATTTAGACCATTATCACCAGTGCTGTTGCCACTAAGTGCTGTCAAATTTATGTCTGTGCAATGGGGATTACACTGTTCTATTGCTATTATGAACATAGAAGACAAATGAGTAGAAATCATTTTGTAGAAGATGTATAGAAATAAAAGCAAACATTCTTTCAACGTGTAATTTAAGTGGGTATTAACTACTTGAAAGACTCCTGCAACATCTGTTGTTGCTTTGCCCTCGTTGATCACTTTTGTTGAAGAAGCTGTGTGTTTGAGGACTTTGCCACAGGTACACAATCATTGAGTTGTGTACCTGCTTGGACTCAGCTTCCTCTGAGTTACAATCAGAAATACTAATCAGATAAATAGCTTTTTTTTCCTTTTTCTTTTTTTTTAAGGATAATCCAGTGAGGTAGTGGGAGTGGAGAAGGAAAAAAAGAAATCTTAACTGCTTGTGATATGTGAATAGCTTTTCATATGTCATCCATGTTTGCTTTTCTCTATGCACTAGTAGCCATAATGCCTGATTTGTTTCATATTAGGTTATATTTGTGTTAAAGATATATGAATTCTCTTCATATTTGTGGTGTTCATTTAGAATAATATTTACCGAGCATCATGTGCTGTGCAAGTTGTGTGATCTTGGTTCAGTCATTTGATCTCAGTGGGCTTTAACTGGCTCTCCCTTCTGCCTTCATTGCTTAACTGCACCCAGCACTAGAAAAATGCTTTTATATATATATTCCCAAGGAACTACCTTGGGATTTGGGGTTAGTGGGAACAGGAGGAGGAGAGATGGAGGTGGAATATCCTGGCAAAATTAGGGCAGGCCCTACGCTAACCACCCCCACCCTTCACCACCTAGCCCAGCTGCATTTTTATTCATTTTATCTATCCATAGAAACCTCTCAACCTAATGTCTTTCCTCTCTTTAGTCCTCTTAATTTCTACCCTGATTCTTTTGTCTTAGATTCAAAGAATGACTTTCTAATTAGCGCAGTTATAGTGGATATTGATGGGATATTGCACCAGGACAAAGTGGGAAGATTATAAAGGCCGAAAGAGAAAGAAGGAAGGGTAAAAAAGAAATATGTAGGTATAGTGAATAAAAGAAAAGTAATGTGTTGAGAAAGGAGACGGTGAAAAAAGGAAGAGAAATGAATGAAACATGTAGCGAATAAATGGTATATTTGTTTTCTGAATTTGTTGCCTAACATATAAAAATCTCTTAAGATTTTATTTCAGTGAGATGGGAAATTTTTTATGTTGATGTTTTAAAAGTATTTCATGAATGGTTTTCTTCTGTAATTGCCCCAAAGGTTTTTTATTTTTCTTTTATTTCTTGTTAGTTGATTAGGGTTGAGTAAAGTAAGTTTTCATGTTAAAAATTTCTGTTTGTTAAATGAATCAAAAATAGATTCATTCTCTATTGTCTCAATGTTTGAGGAACACCAAGGACATAGTCTGTTTTCCCAGTAGAAATAAAATAAAAACTGTATTTAGTCATGTATACTTACCTGAGATTTGTCATTTTAATTTTTATTTTTTAAGGAGCTGATGCTACACACATGGATGGTGATCAGATTGTTGTGGAAGTACAAGAAGCAGTTTTTGTTTCTAATATTGTGGATTCAGACATAACTGTGCATAACTTTGTTCCTGATGACCCAGACTCAGTTGTAATCCAAGATGTTATTGAAGATGTTGTCATAGAGGAGGATGTTCAGTGCTCAGATATCTTAGAAGAGGCAGATGTATCTGAAAATGTCATCATTCCTGAGCAAGTGCTGGACTCAGATGTAACTGAAGAAGTTTCTTTACCACACTGCACAGTCCCAGATGATGTTTTAGCTTCTGACATTACTTCAGCCTCAATGTCTATGCCAGAACATGTTTTAACGAGTGAATCCATGCATGTGTGTGACATTGGACATGTTGAACATGTGGTCCATGATAGTGTAGTGGAAGCAGAAATCATTACTGATCCTCTGACCAGTGACGTAGTTTCAGAAGAAGTGTTGGTAGCAGACTGTGCCCCTGAAGCAATCATAGATGCCAGCGGGATCTCAGTGGACCAGCAAGATAATGACAAAGCCAACTGTGAGGACTACCTAATGATTTCGTGTAAGTCATGTGGTACAGTGATTTTAAGCAATGTTTTTGAAACGTATTTTATAACATAAATAATGGTGAAATTTTATTGACTTTAACTTCTGTAAAATTAAAGTACAAATCATAAATCTACATGCATTGTTGCTTAGTTTGCATCCTAGAAGATAAATCATAATTAAGTGACATGGTACAGAATAGAGTTATTTCTATATTAGCGTAGAATAGAAAGATGAGAAAAATAAGGAATGAAAATAACAGAATTGAGCCTTATGAAATCATACAAAGTATGATTGGTCTGTTACCTTCAGATTTATCCCTGAGACTTGTAGTCAGTTTTTTTAAGTCTTTTTATTATGTAGTCGTTTCACTTTCTCCCTTTTTTCTACCGTAGTGTCCCTTTTCTCTTTAAAGTCATGATTTTGTTGTTGGTGTTTAATTCATTAGTGGCTTTGGAGTTAAATCTGGTGAATGCCCTGAAATACAGTGGTTGCACCAAGGCCATCAACAACTAATTTATTTAGGTTTCAAATTGATTTCAAATTTTACATCATACTAGTTTTATGTTCTGCTCACTGATCCTCATGGGATGCTGGCTTTCTTGATTGTGTTTATAACTTTGTCAACCAGAACATGGTTGGACATACTTTTGCTTATGCAGCAGCTGCTATAGTCGTTCTGTTGCTAGAATCTCTGACTATGTTTCTCTAATATTTTTAACTTCAATATCTAGGTATATTTTCTACATTAATATGGTTACGACTTATAGAATCATTGTGTCATTTATCTGCTGATTTAAATAGTTATCCTAATTGATCAGTTCATTACTATGGTCTTTGAAAAGAAGTTTTATAGTGTAGATTTAGTTTAGAGCATTCCCATTAATATTAAATACCACCTACACTCTTTGTCCTGTGTCTTTGAGCGTAGCACAGCAAAAGATTTGTGCAGGCATTTGCATGGGCACAGGGAGAGTAGGCATTTACCTCTTATATGATCAAGTATACCATTATGGCCTAGTTTTCTAATAATGATAATTTTCTACCTCCCTCTGAACCTGCTTAATGATTTTAAAGAGCCTCATTCAACTGATTTAATAAACATTTATTCTGTGTGTAAAAACTTATTCTATGAAGTGTTTAAATATTTAAGATTAATAATTTACAGTTTTGACCTTCATAACCTTTATAACCTGGTGTGCCAGGAAAAGGGGGAGTAAGGGGTGTTTAGCTCTTTGAAAATGTCATAATAAATATTTTTATATGCCAAATTTATCTAGCTATTTCAATTTTTTTTTTTTTTTTTTTGCTAGCTCTTACTTCCTCCAGAAAAAATATCTCCTAATGCAGCATTTTAAATTAAAACTCTAGGCCGGGCGCGGTGGCTCAAGCCTGTAATCCCAGCACTTTGGGAGGCCGAGACGGGCGGATCACGAGGTCAGGAGATCGAGATCATCCTGGCTAACACGGTGAAACCCCGTCTCTACTAAAAAAATACAAAAAATTAGCCGGGCGAGGTGGCGGGCGCCTGTAGTCCCAGCTACTTGGGAGGCTGAGGCAGGAGAATGGCGTGAACCCGGGAGGCGGAGCTTGCAGTGAGCCGAGATCGCACCACTGCACTCCAGCCTGGGGCACAGAGCAAGACTCCATCTCAAAAAAAAAAAAAAAATAAATAAATAAATAAATAAATAAATAAAAACTCTATAGGGCTTAGGGTTGACAGGTTTTTCATAAAGTGTATAGAGGAAGTGTGGTCTGATTTTATATTAATATAGTGAATACTGAGATGCTGTCATTGACAGTAAGCTTTAATGTTTTCCATAATATGAGAGATGGTAATATCTTTTAAATTCTTTAATATATTTAATACATAGATTGAAGGTTGTAAAACAGTCTTTAAGTACACTTTACATTTAAAAGTATGTTATTAGATTTAAGAGCTTATTAATTTTTATGTCTTTAGTGGCAGGTTTTTTCTCCTCTGAAAATCTCATTTAAAATGATCAGAGTCCTCTATGTTAGCACAGTAGTATATCTGCACAAAAGTGCTCACTGTTACACCCTAAATGCTATGGAGATCAACATAACCTCTTTATATAGTCTTTACTGTATAGATGTTACCATTGACTTTTAAGTTGATTACATCATCCTCAAATACAGGTCCCCCTCAAACCTGTGCATATTTGGTATAAAATATTTGTGGAGTGAACACTTACATGAACTTTATAGCTGAACGTTTGTGCATATCATGTCTCATCCAAAGGGCATCTAGTTTAGTTGTTTTGGCAATCCACGTAGTGTTTCTAATAAATTATGACTTTGGTCATAGTGAACATTCAGTAAAAATGTTCAGTGAATAAATGAATAAATGAAACCCAATCCTCATATCTAAATCTGAAAGCCTATGGATCAATACAGTTTGATGATTTGTTTAATGATTCTAGTGGCTACTAGAGCAGAGTAGGACTGGTAAAATAGTTGTTTATTGTACTTATTTTATATTTTTTGTATATTTATACACATTACATATATTAATTTTGCTTATCCTTCTGTAACTCATTAGATATATATACCTAAAAATACATATATTTTGGATATATATTACATATATAATTAGTAAGTGTATATACATATATTTTAAGCTATCTATTAATTTTGTTTTGTTTTGTAAAACCATTTGGCAAAATGATACCAAATGCAAGCATTTTAAAAGTGTGTATCTACAAGGGATGATTTCTGAAAAGTGAATAAAGATATTTTAGGGAGATAGGTTGTTTTAAGTTTTGATACATTGCTGAAACAGGTGTGTTTTCATAAGACTAAAACTAATGATTTTTATGTAGAAACTCTAAAATACATTAAGAAAATCTTAAAGCACATGTGCAGTGTTTCAAAAGGAGATAAGCTAATCAAAGGAGATAGAAATCAAACTGTTGGAATTTAGGAAAGAAGCTGAACGGAGAAATAACGTTACCCGTAAAAGAGACTATAAAAGCGGCAATAAAATAAATGTGGATTAGTGTTAATATGACTGGAGACCTTCTGACTGGGCTTTAGAAAATTGCCAAAATGAAATGGTGAAAAAACAGACATAAAAATGATTATGGACAAGATTAGCAGACATGAGAAACAGAAGGCAAAACTTACATACAGAAAAGAAGAAAACAATTAATATGACAGAAAGTTATGGAAGAAAGCTTTCCTGAAATTAGGAATGATTTGAGTACAGCAATGAAAATGGCAGAGTAAAGAACACTGAAAAACTTCTCTTTTCTGAAAATAATGAGAACAATGGTTTAAAAAAATTATCAGAGTAACATTTTTCAGCTCTCTGAAAACTAAATGATTGTAGCAATAGAGTGAGTACTGGATATTGGCAAGACTGTGCCCTTTTAATTTGCTGTGTTTACATCCACTTCTCCCAAGCTGTATGTTGGCCTTAAAAACTGGCATCTGACATATAAAAAAAAGGAGCAGTCAGGGAAGATATAGCAGCTCATGCCTATAATCCTAGTGCTTTGAGAGGATTGGCCAGGAGGATCATTTGGGGCCAGGAGTTTGAGACCATCCTAGTCAACATAGTGAGACCCTCTCTCTACAGAAAAACTAAAAAATTACCTGAGCATGGTGGAGGATCCTTTTAACTCAGGAGATCAAGATTGCAGTGAGTTATGATTAAGCCACTGCACTTCAACCTAGGTTACAGAGCAACACCCTGAGTCAAAAAAAATTTTTTTTTCTTTTAAACAGCAGTTTGGCAGCTACTGGAGGAGGAAGAAAGGCCCATTTTCAGAGAACTGATATTATTTGACTTGGTGGTGGTGACCTGCAAGACCCACCCATTTTTTTTTTTTTTGAGACAGAGTCTTGCCCTTTTACCCAGGCTGGACCCCAGTGCTGTGATCTCAGCTCATCTTAGCCTCCAACTCCTGGGTTCAAGCAATTCTTGTGCCTCAGCCTCCTGAGTAGCTGGGACTACATGTGCTGTGCCACCACACCCCGGCTAATTTTTTTTTTTTTTTTTTTTTGGTAGAAATGGGGTTTCTCCATGTTGATTTGTCTGGTCTCTAACTTCCAGCCTGAAGTGATCCACCCACCTTGGCCTCCCAAAGTGCTGGAATTACAGATGTAAGCCACTGCACCCAATACTACACTTAGACTATTTTAATTGACTTAGACTCTGAACTTCTGTAGTATGAGCCTTCTCCTTTGGGTTGTTGCTTGAAAATTTTAGAGACAACTGTTGAACATCACTGGTTTTTGAGGCAGTTGATACAGTTAGGGCAAGCAGTAGATATACTAAAACTTAAAAGGAATGAAAAGTCCAGTAGTGGAATGAAAAGTCCAGAGGGCTTTGAAAAGCTGGGACGTATTCCTGATTATCTTGAATGTGATAATGCCAGGTCTGTGGCCCTGGTAAGGAAAAGCTTGGCAAGGCCTTAGACTCACACTTTGGGTAATCTTCAAGGGCTGCCCAAATAAAACCCAGTATAGAACTATAAACAGCCTGCATGAATGTTTCAACATGCGTGTAAGAGCCAAAAACTGCTGGTTCTACACATCTGTCAAGTCATAAGCTGAATATGTATTTTATATAGCTAGATATAATTAGACTTTTAAATTGCTACATGTGAAAAAATACACTTTAAAGGATTAGTTTAGAAAAATCACAGTACTGTTGTTTGCTAAGCAATAGTAACCAGTCATAACAACACACATTAGGGAAACAAAGAATCTGATTTTCACAGTTGCCAAATAGTATTATTTTAAATGTTCAGTTTTCAACAGCAACAAAAAATGAGACAGGCACAAAACCAAAAAAAGCACAGCCTATGCGCAAGAAAAAGTACAGCCCACAGAAATTCATTCCAAGGAAGTCCAGACACAGTACTTACTAGAGTAGCTTATGAATCAGTTTTATTACATTGTTCAAAGGGCTAATTAGGAAGTCATGTGTAAAGAAATAAAGGAAAGTAGGATAATGATGTCTCATTAAATGGAGAATATCAATAATCA